TGGTTAAGGAGTGTGTAAGGTGGTTAAGAGTGTGTTTTAGTGGTTCGTATTTTACGCCCCCGTTACTGATTTTTATTGTTAATAAATGTATTTAGATCGAACACTGCACAGAAGTTTGCCCTTTTCATGGGAAATCATGAAATAAAATCGTGAAATTATCTTATATTTGTCCGTTCGTCTGTTTGTCCTACAGTCTTACCCAATATATTGAGAATTTTAATTTAGAAAAATTAATGGATTTGATATTTGGTGTCAAAACTAGAGCTTTAAACAAACCAAAAAGAGAGGTTTTAAGATAAATGACCATCAAGATTTAAAATGCGCATTACTGGTAATCTGCCTTTTAAAAAAAAAAAAATACAAAATACAATTCATTATTTTGAAGATCAGTAAAAGCTTTTTTTCTCTTACCGGAAAATGCAGTAATCCATACAATACAAAATAACAGTGTTTTTAAGGCCAGTGCCATTGTCTTTACTATTGTTCTTGTTCTTTGATTTCTAATAAAAAGTTTTTAAAAAACATTTCCCTATAGCAATCATTGCTTGAGCATGTGAAACCTCTGAACGAGTGGAGATTACGAGGATTACTTTATCAATTTTTATCTCTGCATATGCATTTAAAGTGGTTGAGCATTTTTTGAAAACACCTGCATTCCAAAAGTTTAAAAGGTGAATACAATATCTGTAAATACTCATATCTTTTCTTAAAGGAGGTCTTAAAAAATTGAGAGATATGTGACAGCAGTTATAATTTCCTTAATATATGTTTTCATAAGATATCATTAAGGTGCATATACAACAAGCCTTGTTGTAAATTTTTACCACATTGAGCATCACAAAAATTCGAAACATGAAATAAATGCTCGATAGCAGTGTAAGCCTTCTTTAGTCAGCAGTAATCCAACCGGTTTCGAATGTTAAAAGCAAAAAATAAAAAAATTAATTTTAAAAACAATCCTGGAAATCATTGTCGCAAGACATTAGCTGCAGAACTGTCGCTCTCCAAAAGAAAATATTTTGACAGAACAGAGAGCTCTAGTTCTGCAACTGCAAGACATAAGCAGGGTCTTCTAGCTGCAAGACATAAGCAGGGTCTCCTAGGTAAATATTAATCTAAATATTAAAAATGTATGATATTACCTTTTTATAAAAGAAATATCAAATTCATGACATCAAATGACACCTAGTTCTATCAAAATTGTTTAATATATATATTATATATATATATATATATATATATATATATATATATATATATATATATATATATATATATATATATATATATATATATATATGTGTGTGTGTGTGTGTGTGTGTGTGTGTGTGTGTGTGTGTGTGTGTGTGTGTGTGTGTGTGTGTGTGTGTGTGTGTGTGTGTGTGTGTGTACAAGCATACAAAAGCATTCGATCAAAAAAGTCAACTTTAAAGTATTATTTTGGCTACAAATTAATTTGAACAAAATGAACATGTATTTCCAATCATTTTTTCTCTCTTTTAGTTGTATGTCGTTATCAATTCTGATACCTTAAATTCGGCGGGATTACTTTTGATGCACTAAATAAATATTTACTTTAGAACAAGAACTATTTCAGTATTGATTTTTTTTATCATTACTGAGCATACAATTCTGTTGTCAATCATTTTAAGGGAGATAAGAGTACTAAAGTGTTACTATACACCCCCCACTGTCTGTGTCCAAATTATATATATTACAGGGCATGAAGAAAAAAAAAGATCTTTTGTTTTAATGTTTGCTTTGTAACGAAGTAAAAAGATCATCCTCTCATTTTATTAAACACACAGAAGAGAGAGAGAGAGAGATTACGAGCTGCTGAAATAAATGTGACAACTTGGATTTAAAATGTATTGGTTTAAGTAAGATCAAGCGTCCCAAGTAAATTACATTTGTTTAGCGCACCTACAGAGAGAACAGAAAAAAAGATTGTCATCATTCATGATCAATTTTGAATATTTTAGAAAATGTGCAAGAAAATTTTTTTAAAGAAAGAAACAAGCTTGATGTGATGGAAGTCCATGTTTTCCCCGCTCCAATTTTGGGTTTTTGAGCTTGTTGAATATTGTTCGTTATCTCCACATATTTCATTCCCAATAACATAAAACCTATGATAAAGCACCTCCACCGTATAAAGCTAAAGGACGTGAGAATTCTGTCACTTGCAATCAGAGGATTAACATATTAAGACAGAACTGTGAAGGATATGTTTATAAAACGTGTCCAACGGAATAAAAAATAGCTTTTGGGAAGACTTAGTGATTATTGTTTCATCAATGGAACGTATAGAAAATAAACAGCTATCAAGCTCAATTTTCTTATAAAACAATACAAATCGTGAGCAGAGCAATACCGACCAATGAAATAAATAGGTGGTCACGTGACAAATACGTGAAAATCTATCAACATCTCATATGGTGTCTGTTCACATTCACTTTGAACACCTTTATTGTCTTATATTAGTCATAAGTTAGACGTTATCCTACAGAAGCTATATTTGATTTACAATGAAAGTTGTAAAGTGTATTACAAAGAAAAAACTCGAAGGTGATTAAGAAGAAGAGAGTTAAGGTGTAATACAAGCCCGAAGGCAAATAGAAATAAATCAATGTGAAGTAGGGAGATATAAAGTTGACATATAAAAATGCTTGAGTTTTTGATTAACAATATCAAAGTGGCTCTTGAAGACCAGGTCTTCCAACAATCTACTGGAATTCCTGGGTACAAATTGAGTTCATTTTTAGCAGACCTGGTTTAATATTCATATAAAGCAGAATTTGTTCAAAAACTAGAAAATAAACCGGCTGTAGCCTTCACTCGACATAAAAATATATCGACGGCATATTGTCATTTCACATAGGTGATTTCCCATTCTTATTTCAATACGATACAGTCATTCAGGTGAGCTTGAGATAAAAGATACCACAAAGAATTCTACCATATCTGTTTCACACTTAGATATTTTTTCATTTGTAGGAGACGTTAATGGTAATCAAACAACCAAACTCTATGATAAACAGGGTGACTTCTTTTCAATCGCAAATGTCACTTACTTATCCAGTAATACATCTTTATCACCTGCATACGGAGTTTATATCTCTCAGTTGATTCGATACACAATAGCATGCTATATATATGTACTATTTCTAAAACGGTAAATTATTGACAAACAAGGTAGTGAAACAAGAATATTAGCAGTCTCGTTTAAGGTCATAATATCGTAAGTTTTATAGTCGATACAATGACCTTGTCAGCAATTTGTATTTGAATCAAATGCTGACCGACGTTTTTCATACAAATTGTTGTCCATTATTTACATGACAGGGAGCACACGGCGGAGGTTGCGTTTAGCCGAGGATAATCCCTCCTACATGGCACCTGATCCTACCTGATGTGTTTGAGATGTGTTTGAGATCCGTGTTCGCAATGCTCCTATTTTGTACTGTGAAATGGGCTGTTGAGCTTGAATAATGTTCGTTATCTCTACATGTATCTATTTCTTTTTCAACTTATTTTGAAACAAAAGCACTTGATATAAAAACTTAACAGATCTGATTATAGATCGATTTCAGAGTTTGAAGTTCATAGTTGTTATGATGAAAAGAATGTTTGAAATCGTGATTTTTTTTCTATATGAAGTATTGTTTTTTTTTCTCAACATTTGATAAGCAAATCGATTAATCTTTCTTCAAAAATAAGTGGGTTCCAAAAAATGTTCCTCCAAGCCTCTTTTTTACTCCTTTCTAAATAATTAACAGATTAATGAAGGAGAACATTTAGGAAGTTTTTCATTCTTGCAATTGCGAGTAAAATGACGATACTTGTGAAGGGGATTTGCTTTCGAACATTTCTACTCTAGATATAATTATTTTTCTAGATTAAAGTTTTAATATTTTTCATTGATACACAATACACAAAAATATTGTCAATTGTCGTACGTATAAAGAATAAAAGTAAAAAAAAACTGGTGAAAAGTGTAAGAATCTGTCAATCAAACAATCCAAAACTTTGAAGTTTCAATAACTTAAAATGATATAAAATTTTCAATATATTTTTGTGTGAAATGCTATTAATATATAATATAAATCGTGATACGTGTATTATACAGAAAATATTAACTTCAAATCTGTGTCCATGCACCTTTAAAAACGTAGTGCTTATCAGATTTTGAAATTTAAAAATCGAAAGAACTTTAAAATTTGAAATGATTAAATTATACCAGAATTAATAACATCATTTCTACTTCTCAACATTTTATTAAAATCAATCTTTATGACATCATAGACCGAATTTTTTTTTCAAAGAGAATGGAAGTACAGCATATTTCATATCAATTGGTAGCTAGGCCTTTGTTTTAATACTGAATTCGACTATGGAATGTTCTGTTTACCTGATGAATTGATAAGGTTCATAACAAGTGTAATTATCCTCTGAGTGTTACTAAAAAATTAAAAGAACTCTTCTATTAGTCATCTGGTATCTGATTATCAACTTGTGCATGAAGTAAAGATCCTTAGTATAAATTAAATGAATTTTAGTTTGTAACTTGCATAAATTTTGACAAATCTAATCAAATTTTCACGCAGTTTATTGTAATAATATTATCACATACATTTGTAAGTGTAAAGGTAAGGAAAATAAATATATCGAAGAAACCAAATGATGCAAAACATGGGAATCGTGTTAAATAATTACATGAATAAAATTGAGGATTTTATAATCTTAAAAATAAATATACTTTTACCACAGCAAAGATAACTTGTTCATGTTCCAGCATGATACATGTATTATATGCATTCGGTCTTCAATGTTGAACATTACATGCGTGAAAGAATGAACAGTTTTATAAACATGTGACCATAATCTAAATCATTATGAAGCGGGATGTCAACCAATAATAATCATTTTTCTGTACATGAACAGCAAAAAAAAAAAAAAAAAAAAAAAAACAGTATAACATCAAAAACATCGTTTTTCTAGACTTCACTACGTTCATATCCTCTTCTTTAAAAGAGTCCAAAATCACATATTAATTGATGATAATGCAAAAAGAGTATCAAAATGCATTATAAGAAATTTTAACATGGCGTCGATTTTCCCCATCGAACAGGGGTCTATGGAGAAAAGAAAAAAATATATGAACATATACAATCAAACTTACTTTAATTAAAATTTTATTTAATATGTTCAATTTAGTTCAGCGATTAATTAAGATATTTTTTTTTTATTAAATTCAAATGGTATTTTACTATCCTATATAAATTTGCATTTTTTAAAAACAATTTTAATAATGAAAGGGTCTAATTTTCTTGTCCAATTTTTCACATTTTACATACCGGTAATTTTATCCTTGGTATAATGGATCCCTCTGAGTGTTTTCGTATCTCTGTTATTTAATAGAAAAAATTTAGCAACAACAGAATTAAGTATAAAAACCAGAAGTCTCTGTCGAGACTGAAGCTCTACTGGTTTGTACTTATAGCAAAGGAAGAGAAAAGTACTTTTCAATAAGCAGTTGGGAATTGAAACTTTTCTACAGCAATAAATAGAATAATGATCCTTGATTAAGTCTCTTTATGTTCTTAGTGTAGTCTACTTGCATGCCACATTATATTATAATCACACTAAAACTGTATTTGGAGTAGCATTTTGAGAGTATTTAACAGAAATTTCTATTTTTAGTAACCACGGCAACACCGTTCATCGAAATCAAAAACCGATATACAGAATTATGTATCTTAGTGTAGTCTACTTGTGTGCCAAGTTATATTGAAATCAGACCAAACCTGTAGGAGGAGTAGCATTTTGAAAGAATTTCACAGAAATTTCTATTTATAGTAACCACGTCAACACCATTCATCGAAATAGAAAACCAATACACAGAATTATGTATCTTAGTGTAGTCTACTTGTGTGCCATGTTATATTGAAATCAGACCAAAACTGTACGAGGAGTAGCATTTTGAAAGAATTTCACAGAAATTTCTATTTTTAGTAACCACGGCAACACCGTTCATCGAAATCAAAAACCGATACACAGAATTATGTATCTTAGTGTAGTCTACTTGTGTGCCAAGTTATATTGAAATCAGACCAAAACTGTAGGAGGAGTAGCATTTTGAAAGAATTTCACAGAAAATTCTATTTTTAGTAACCATGGCAACACCGTTCATCGAAATCAAAAACCGATACACAGAATTATGTATCTTAGTGTACTCTACTTGTGTGCCAAGTTATATTGAAATCAGACCAAAACTGTACGAGGAGTAGCATTTTGAAAAATTGTTTACAGACGGACAGACAGACAGACGGACGGACGACGGACGCATTACTATCGCATAAGCTCTTCTGGTCTCTGACCAGTAGAGCTAAAAAATACTCGAAGTAAAAAAAAGAAGATATTTACCTTTGAATTCCTCTTCACTGTATAAGTCTTTAGAACTCGATTTTGAAACCTATATCAAATAAAAAAAAATAATAAATTAAATTTCGTATCTAGTTTTGTTTTTAATAATTCATTTCAAGATTACCATTCCAAGTAGAGATGGTGATTGAGCAGGAACTATTGAAAATTTATTAATTACCACTCCGAATTTATTTAGTTAAAGGTTTTTATACTTACTAATTTGTTCTTGGACGTTCGAGTCGTTAATGTTCTTGATTCATATTTTCTAATTTTTCTTGACATGGCTTGCCGAACCTATATAATATACGTATATACATGTACAGTGATTCTCTACAAACTGAGTGCTGTTTAATAGATTATAAAGAAAATCTCGTATAGTTATTATTAGTACATTTAATATACCAGGTACAAATCAGAATTTAAACAAAAAAATCTTAACTTTTAATTTGAAAAAAAAAATCCCCTTTTACTGAGCAAAGTAGGAATGACACTTTACTGATCTGAAAATTGACTTATTTTATTTTTTGTATTATTTACCGTTATGCTTATACACATACATGAATGCATACATGTACTATACCTGATTGTTCATTAATACATGAAATAGGAAAATAAAAAGGCCCTGAAAATCAAAAATACAGAATACCTTTTACTTAATATTTGAATGAAACAAACAAGTTTTCAAGGACAACTACATTTTACTTAGACACATTTTTTATGCTTGCTTTAAAATAATAGTGTGTAGGTAAGCAAACCATAAGGAAGGCATCAACTACAAATCATAAAATTAACAAAGCAAGTACATAAAATATAAGATTGATTAGTCATTTATGCCAAGAATAATTAATAGTGTGGTGACTTTAAATAGGAAAAAGAGTTCTATTGGTCAACTCATTCATCAGAACACACTGGCAAGGAAAAATCAGAAATCCGAAATGATGATTTTAAACGAGATTGTTGAAATTCTTGTTTCATTGACTCGTTTGTACATAATTAACCTTGTTTTAGAAATTGTTTATTTGTAGAGCATAGTCTTGCGTATCGAATCAACTGAGAGATTAAAACCCCGTAAGCAGGGAATGAAGGTATATTGCTGCACAAGTAAGGGAAGTTGACGATTGAAATGTTAAAGGCATCACGTTCATCATAAAGCTTGGTTGTTGAATCACAATTACCATCTAGCTACTGAATGCCTTGCTTATCCTAATCTTTGTCTTATATGCCCTTTGACTAGTACATTTTAAGAGTTGTGAGGTCATTCTACTCTTTGAAGTCTTCAATACGTTTCACGCAAATGATCTTACCGGCAATCAATATACCTTTATATTCATATGTAAATCTTTTACCAACTGTCATGACCCCACCCTACTGCAGGAGTCATGATTTGAACATTTTGAATCTTTGCTATCAAAGGATTCTTCTGTATAATATGACTAAGAATGGCTTAGCTGTTCTTGAGAAGACTTTTGTAAAATACAGTTTATATATTCCTCTGGAAAACTTCTGACCCAGGGTTTGTTGCGCTCAGCCCCCAGAAATAATGATTTAACTACTAAAAAAATATTCCATACTTTTTCATTAACTTTTGTTAACTGTATCATTGACTCTTTGTTCATACGATAGAAAAATATTTCTACGTTCAGGAACCTATAAAACCATTACAATTAACCCTCTTTCATTTGCAACTGTTCCATTTAACCTTCTTTCACTTGAATTGGTGATGTCATGAAGAAAAAGGGCCATTGTAAAACACATATAAAAACAAAGTGTGAAAACATATCAATTTTTAGTTTTTGTTGAAAGAAAGGAATAGAAAGAAGACTTACTTGTAAAGAGTTAAATATGGCAAATAAATATTTGAAAACAATTGTACTGCTATCTATCGATAAAATTCCAAAAACCCAAGTCAACCCAAGTACAGGTAACAATGCACTCATTCCTCGAACCCCGCTTCTGCAACATATAACAATGAAAACAATTGTACAGACAAGGAGTTAGATATTTTTATGGGGATTGCATTGATGCTTTCTTTTACATTTTTTTTTATCATGAAATGAAAGGTACAAAATGTATAAATGGTTTTATACATTTGAATATTATGAAATATATATGGCACGCCAAATTCACAAAAATGAGATAAACCTAGTTTCACAATTGATAAACTAGGTTAATCGACTGTAAACTATAGTTTACAAACCGTAAACTATAGTTAACGATTCGTTAAGTATAGTTTTCATCTGTAAAACTATATTTAACGGTCGTTAACTATAGTTTACGAATGCTAATCTAAGTTTATCTGTCTGAATAAAGCGTTAACAATAGATTTTGTTGATAAACATAAATTTACGTTTGTAAACTATAGTTTACAATCGTAAACTATAGTTAAGAGTTGTTAATCATAGTTTCACAAATCGTGAAACTATATTTATCAGATCGTTAACTATAGTTAACGGTTTGTAAACTATAGTTTACAAATCGTGAAACTGTATTTATCAGATAATCTATGTTTTGCGATCGCAAATGATCGTTTTCGATGTTAAGTATAGTTTACGGTTGTGAAACATAGATTATCGCATTAACTATGGTTTACAGATGCAAAATATAGATTAACGTTGTTAACTATAGTTTACAGTCCGTAAACTATAGTTTACAACCGATAAACCTAGTTTATCGACTGTGAAACTATGTTTTGCTCATTTTTGTGGATTTGGCGTGCCATAAATATATGTATAGCGAACAGTAATCAAGCTCAAATCTTAATTGTAGTTTTACTGTATTATAAAGAAGAAAACCCGTGAATACTTTATTCTACAAGAGGCCCAGGGGCCACAGCGCTCATCTGAGCACATCAGCTAGGAAAAAAAACACATATCAGATCAGAACTGTAAGTTAACTTAAGTGGGGGGGGGGGGGGGGGCTTGAATTTTAACCCCCAAGGGGATCATAATTTGAACAAACTAGAATCTACATTACCTGAGGATGATTACATATAAATATTACTAATCATGGCTTTGAAGTGCTTGAAAAGAAGATTTAAAAAGGTTTCCATATAGTTCTATGTAAAACTTTGGTCGGCCATTTTGGCCACACCCTTACCCCCCGGGGTCATGACTTGAACAAACTTGAATCTACATTACCTGAGGATAATTTCACATTACTTTCATCCTTCCTGATTCAATGTTTCTTGAGAAGAAGATTTTTTAAGATTTTTCCTACATATTCCTATGTAAAACTTGATCGGCCATTTTGGCCCCGCCCTACCCCCGGGGGTCATGACTTGAACAAACTTGAATCTACACTACCTGAGGATGATTCCACATGAGTTTCATCTTTCCTGGCCCAGTGGTTCTTGAGAAGAAGATTTTTAAAGATTTTTCCTTTATATTCCTATGTAAAACTTTGATCGGCCATTTTGGCCCCGCCCTACCCCCGGGGGTCATGACTTGAACAACCTTGAATTTACACTACCTGAGGATGATTCCACATGAGTTTCATCTTTCCTGGCCCAGTGGTTCTTGAGAAGAAGATTTTTTAAAAATGCCAATAATTTTTCTCTTATTCATGATTATCTCCCCTTGGAAAAGGGCATGGCCCTTCATTTGAACAAACTTGAATCCCCTTTATCCAAGGATACTTTGTGGCAAGTTTGGTTGAAATTGGCCCAGTGGTTCTTGAGAAGAAGATGAAAATGTGAAAAGTTTACAACGACAACAACGACTACGACGACAACGACGACAACGACTACGACGACAGACAACGGACAAATTTTGATCAGAAAAGCTCACTTGAGCCTTCGGGTCAGGTGAGCTAATAATAGCATGTAGCTGTAAATAAATACTGTCTACAGCTTTTTTACCATACAAATAAAAGATTTTCTGATTGTTTAAATTTTTCAGTGCGAATTACTTGATACTAAAACTACAAAAATTCATATTACATTCGGATAGAAATATGTACACAAAACAAGTACTCACGAAATAAGACTTACATTGCCTTTTCTTTCACAGACTTTTTCACCATAAAAGAGGAGGAGAACATTGTTTTCATTACCATGACAACGATGACAAAATTTACCTGAAAAATTTCACGAACAGTGTGTTAGAATTTATCGATTAATGAAATTACAGGCCTAGGTCAGTCAAATTAAAAATTAAATGAAAATAACAAAACTTATGTGTAATTGAGATTTAAAAAATACTAAAATGATCCTCGAAACTCCTTATGCACCTATGGATTCATTTAGTAGTGATTATGGACAGGTACAGTAAAAATTTGCTTTAACGAAGTCAATAGGACCTATGAAATTACTTCACTATATCCGTACTTCTTTAATCCATATAAGGAATTCATAAATCTTGTATAGCTGGGGATATAAGAAAACTTCGTTATATTCTCAATATCCATGTTTGCACTAAACGAGTTTTACTGTATTTACAAGAAAAATGTCAGACCGAGGATCGAGCTCACTATATAGTGATATTATTCTCGCGAAAAACATTACAAAATAAAACATCCTCACAACAGAAAGAGTCCATGATTGCTTTAATTTATTATATTGTCAGGGTTTGAAGAAATAAAACATTGAAGGTTGCATGACTCTTAAATTTTCATTAGGTAGCAAACTTCTGTTGTAGAAAATAAAATATGTCTGGATTACAAGTTATAACCATCTGATTTCCTGTCGTGATGTGAACGATGTTTTGTGTTTGGAAAATAATCCCGGAATAAACTTATTTTATATCTATCCTTCCAATTTCAAGCATTGTTTTCAACCTTGTTTGTAGTATTGATTATGACGTCACAATGCCACTTCACGCGCTTCAAATCATGTGAGCGTATAAAATTATGACTTGCATTTGTACATGTATAAATTGTAAAAAGACTATTTATTATTATATATGAAAATGAACTGTAAATCAGAGTCAGATCCATAGCACTTTGTAATTTGAAAGGAATTAATACATGTAATCGGGTTTTTTCCTTAGCTAGTATTAGATGTGAAGGCATGATTTTCAGCACGTATTTAAATTATTTCTTAACTTCAATTAGAAAATAATACAAGTATAAAATGCATTATATTATTTTTTCATTACCAAAATAATTATCATGGCAGGGACAATAAATCCATAAAGAGCACTGTTCCTCAGCCAGCAACTAAAATAATTAAAGAAGGTTTGTTATACATATAATTTGACAATAAATAATATCAAAGACAATTGTGGCAAAATTAATTGAATAAAAGTAGTCTATAAAGGGGTATAATTGAGATTGTTCAAATCAAACATTTTAGGCCTTTATATTGTATTTTGTATATATATATGTATATAAATATGCTCCTAGTACCTCATATATCATTGTATGGACTTGTGAATAGATAAACAAACAATTTCAAACCATGAAATTATTGTATCTCAATCAATTAAGTGCATAAGATTCCTTAAAGGTACTTGTACACAGATTTGAAGTTAATATTTTCTGTATAATATCACGAATTATATATTTTAATAGCATTTCACACAAAAAATTATTAAAAATCTTATTTGATTTAAAAGTTATTAAAACTTTCAAAAAATTTTGCGGGTTTGATTGACACATCCTTACACATTCACAAATTTTAACTTTACTCTTAATCCTTAGGAAAAGTGGCTATCTTGTTGTGTTTTTATGAGAAATATTAAAACTTTTTAAAAAGTTTTAATAACTTTTAAATAAAATAAGATTTTAAATTAATTTTTGTGTGAAATGCTATTAAAATATTATATAAGTCGTAATATTATAGAGAAAATATTAACTTCAAATCTGTGTCCAAGTACCTTTAAAAACATTTGACAAATCCGGAACTTAAAAATAGTGAAAAAACGTGATATGCATATCAATGTTATGCATTAGAAATATCTTTCATTGTGATTTAATTAAAATAAAAACATGGACATTTCGTCTTCACGTCAATATAATTTCCCTTGAATTCACAATAAGGGACAGGAAGAATTACAACTTGGAAAGAACAATAATGGTAAGCTAATCATAAGACACATGATGTACTCACAACGTTTCATTTCCTATGTCATGTAGTTCTGTTGCTCCGAGAGTGATTCCCACGATAGCAGCTGGTAGTCCTAATGTAATGGAACAATTACAGTCACGTAAAAAAAAATAATAAACCTAATTGTTAGGATTCAAAAATTTACATTTGATCAATTTCTTACACAATTTTTATACCTAATCAAATGCTTAAAATTTATTAATTTAAAATTTGTTTTGATGGGAATAACATTACTCGAAATTTATACTCGTCAATGATTAAGAAATACTATGTCAGGGTGTTTAAAAAAACTTGGACTAATTTTTAAGTATATATATAACTATAAACTTCCTGTAATTAATTACCCCAGCCCAGTAGTAGTAAAAGAGCAGAACTAGATCTGCTACTGAAAACATCAAGTATGGCAACTGCCAGATCAATGCCCAGGGCAAACATCATACAAAACATGGCAAGGAAAAAGTACTGGAGAAGAGCCGCAATGATAGTACACACGGTCTGGAACGAAACGTAAACGTGTGTCTTAAGTTACAAATCATATCTTATTATCATTTAATTTGTCGAACAGAGGTTTTTACTGTACACATTTTAATTGTGCTTGTATCAAGAGAACACATTCATACTTTATTCATGAAAATAAAGGATCTGCAAAAATCAGAAGTGAAAAAAGAGTTCGCATTATGAGGTAATTTAAAATCATTTAATTTCTATGAAATACTTGCTTCTGATTGGTTGAAAAATTCTTTTGATACCTGCATCAATAAAATCTAGAGTTCGCTTGCACTAAGCAGCCGGAACTACTTGGCAGTCTCTGCATGTATATTTCCCGCTTCCAGGTTACTTACTTCTTGAAGGAATAATTAAATAATTTTACTTTAATAAATATTTTCCTGAATTTCGAAATCTGTCCGTTATGTTCCTGACTTATTTTCTACTTTCGTTTCTTGTTGAATTATCGCCCTTTGCTAAATAAATCAAATCGTCTGCATAACAACAGTACAGTTTTGGGAAAGAAGGAGAGAAATCGACATAATTTTGTTAAATGTTTGGCTTTGAGATGTCTGGTATGAACAATAGAATTCTGAATTAACGTTTTTTTATGCTACCAAAGTGAGGAAAACCGTTAATCTGTTAAATTTTGGGAAACGAATGATAGAGAAAAACGACACTGCATGAATGAGGACATATTCTTTTAATCTTACACAGTCGACAGCAGACTCTTTCAGGTTTTACAGCATTGACAGGTTGTGATACGTATTTATAATATATTCAGATGAAAAGATGTGCAAATAGAAATCCAAAATTTCTGTGACCTAACGTTAATGTTCGAACTGTTAGGATATTTGAGTAGCTTCCCTTTACATTTACGAACTTAGATAACTTACCGGGGAAAATATACCGATTGGGATAACACAACAGGTAAGTTTTTTGTGTTAAAGAACTGTAAATTGTTTCAGAGAATGTTGGTAATGCCACGACAATATTTGAGAACGTTTCCTCGTTTGAGCCATTTTGAATTTCAGCAACGTTAACGTTGTTGTGATGCATTCGTGCGCACTGTTTTTGATGCGTAAATTCAATAGAAAGGTGAAAGAAAGTTTCGTTTTATTTTTTTTAAATCATAATTAAATGATAAGAAATGAATGTAATATTTTTTCCTTTGATCGATGTATCAAAGAAAAATTTGGACGGAAAACTTTTTCATCAATGCGCTACGCGCATTGATGAAGTTTTCCGTCCAAATTTTTCTTTGATACATCGATCAAAGGAAAAAATATTACATTCATTTCTTAAAACTAAACGACACTAGTCATTTTATTAAAATGTTGTATCAACTATATTACATTAACTTTTATCAAATAGAAGTAAATTATAATTGTATAAGCATTTACCTCATTGTTAGTTTGGTTTCCAGCTGTTAGGAACAACAAGTAGGCAACGGACAAAGACACACAGAGGTTGATAATCAGTACAGATCGTCGTGATTTAATGTATCTGTAATGGCGGAGAGAAAATGAATAAATTGTAAAATCTTACTGGACAAAACATTATGTTTCATAAGGGCTATCAAATAAGCAGTGAAATCAGTAATTCACCTCCAGAAGTACAGATATATGACAATCGTTGCCATTGCTCCAACAATAGAAAAACTGCATCCAATAATGGAAATCATTGTCAACCATTTCTTATCCTCTTCTGATAGCTGATAAAATAGATAAATGTTGTAGTCAGAGGGATTACATGGTTTTATAACTGCATTATCATAAGAATGTAATAATTCTAGATGGTAGAATGCTTAAATTGACGTAATTTAAAATAATTGTTTTACCGAATAATCTGTTGCATAATTACAGCATTTTATCGAACTGTCTTCCAAGTAAAGTAATTACTTACTTTAGTATTCGGAAAAGTGTATGAAAAAAATAATGAGTTATAATTAGATAAATATTATCATGAATTATCAGATATTAGGCATAATTGTGCATAATTTATACCTTATTTTCCCCACTATCATCCAAACTCATCAATATAGCAAAGTTGGTCAAGTGATTACACTCACACACGGTCTGTGAACTATTGGAGAGGGAAGTGTTAACACTACAACCCGATTTCTTCCATAAGCTTCAAATAAAAAAAAATGTAGAATTAAATTTTTAACAAACAACAAAAATTTTTGAACACATATTTTTCTTTAAAAAGGACTAGTTTCTGAAAGTATGCAGTACAGTAATTGTCGATTTGTCTGTTTGTTTACGTATTTTCTTAATCTCTAAATCTGTTGTCAAATAAATTGCTTGGCACAAAAGTAAAAAAAAATTAAAGAAATTGGTTTTCGGCAGGAAAGGTAAATTAAACGTCTAATAGTACAATATTTTTAAAAAGATGCATGAAATTTAATCTTGAAATTATTTAATTTGGTTTGGCATATGTTAAAAATGACAGATGGTGTCATCGGGTTTATAGCGAAACCAATTGCATTAATTAATTAACTAAACTTTATATTCAGGTCTATTAAACTTATTGTCCTGCATCTTTTACATTTGCACCCATATATTGTGCTATAATGACTGCTTTCTCTTCCTTTGCAGAAATCTAATTTCAAAACAGAATTCATGGAAAATGATTTAAAACATAAGCCAGAAAGTTTCAAAAAGCACTTGCGGAAGTTTTCCTTTGTGCGGTTTTAAGATTTTTGTTTGCATCGATCATTTTGGCAAGTATTTTACATCGGTATATTTTCCACAATAAAATTATATAAAAGGTAAGTTTTAAGTAACACAACAACTTAAACACAACTTTTCCACAACAAAATTATATAAAAGGTAAGTTTTAAGGAACGCACAAGAACTTAAACACAGGCGACTAATTACCTTGCTTCATATAGAAAGACACATTCTGCATTGGTGTTGTTGGCTGAGACCTAAAAATAACAAGAGGCCCACGGGCCTTATAGGTCACCTGAGGATCATGTAACAACTTTTGACAATTGAACTGTTTCGTGTTTTAAACCACAGGCCATGAAATTCATAATTTTGAAAGAGGCAGTATTGCTTATCATAATTATACACTTAGCATGCTTACTCTAGATCTACCGGTAGTTACTTAATACCCAGAAGTAGATCAGAGTAACAAAGAGAAAATACACTTCCACTTTATAACCAGTTATGCACCTCACTCCAAAGGAACCACTAACCCTGGGGCCATTTATTTCAAAATTTTGGAAACTTTATCATAAATTTTATTTGATCATAAATGGTTGATTAATACCAAAATGAAGATTTCAAAGCATTAATTTATTTTCAGACTAAGTAACCCCCCACTCCTACCCCTGACCCAGGGGCATTAAAAATTCAACGTATATTGCTAGATGCACCTTTTTTCATCATAAATATATATAAACTTAGATAATTGGCATAAATACCCTGGAGCAAAGGAAAAGATTTTCAAAGAATTAATGTATTTTCACTAAATAATCAAAAGAGCCCCTCCTCCCTAAAGCAAATGGCAGAACCCCTGATACAGGGGACATAAAAAAACCACAAATTTGGTTAAGGTGTCATTCTTGATCATTAACTATTTACTTTGTTTATTTAATACCCAGAAGCAGAGAAGAAGATTTTTAAATAATAAATGCATTTTCACGATATAACCAATAGAGCCCAGCCTTAACACCAGAACCCCTGACCCTAGGGCCATAAAATTAAAAATTTTGAAAGAAGCACTCTTGGTCATGACATAACAATGTACTTAGTTTGTTTATTTGATACCCAGGAGCAGAGAAGAAGATTTTCAAAGAATTTATGCATTTTCACTATATAATCAATAGAGCCCCGCCCTTACACCAGAACCCCTGATCCTGGGGCCATAAAATTCACAAATCTGAATGAGGCAAACTTGCTCATCATAACTTTGTACTTAGTTTGTTTATTTGATACCCAGGAGCAGAGAAGAAGATTTTCAAAGAATTTATGCATTTTCACTATATAATCAATAGAGCCCCACCCTAGCACTTAAGAACCCCTGACCCTGGGGGCCAATGAATTTCACAATTTTGGTAGAGGACTCAATGCTGATTACCAACAGTTTGACTGCCTGATGTCCAGGAGAAAAGAAGAAGATTTTTAAAGATTGCACTAATTTTAGTGGTTTTGGCCCCACTCCCAAGGCCCCAGGGGGGCAGGGACCATGAAATTCACAATTTTTGTTCCCCTTCACCCATAGATGCTGTATGCCAAAATTGGTTGAAATTGGTTCAGTGGTTTCAGAGAAGAAGATGAAAATGTTCAAATGTTAGCACACGACGCACGACGCACGACACACGACGACGGACGAAACGGATAGCAATAGGTAACCTGAGTTTACTCAGGTGACCTAAAAAGATGATACTGAGTGATGAAAGATTTTATAACAAAAGGATCATGGGCTAAATTGCTCACTTGAATCAATAGGGACATTGTATTCCTTATTTGAATTTTAAAAGCTCATTTCCTTAGCCTCTTTGTTCGAATGATTGAATACCATTATAACTGGCGTACCCTTGGTTATGTTGTTGAAAAGAAATATTTTGTTCTTTAAAAATACTACAGTATATTAAACGCATTATATAAAATTTTATTTCCATTGTAATATTTCCTTCCAAAATAGTCACAAGTAAATTTTAAATCCAGAAAAAGTTCAGTGTCCTTTCTTTCTCATCCCTCTTCCCCACTCTTCTCCCCTTCTCCATCTTTCCTTAATTTCTTAAATATTCTATCACATATTTTTGCATTTATGTAACGAGATTGTTTGCATTCAAAATTTGATTGATTGAGGAATAAAAAAAAGTAAATCAATAATTCTGGCCTCATTATAGCCCCAAATTGTCATCACGAGTATGTGAGCAACATAACATATAAATATTTAATTCCTTATCATTTATTGTCCCCACCTTACCCTGGGAACTATTTAAGAAATAATATACACTTCTCCAATGGTTGTGAGTGGGATAGCTCTTTTATCAAACCCGCGACAGGGAACTATTCCCCGAGGGCTTGCCCGAGGGGAATAGTTCCTGTCAAGGGTTTGATAAAAGAGCTATCTCACTCACAGCCAGTGGATAAGTGTTTTATTATACTGATGTATATTATAATTTCTTAGGTTTGAATTTACTTTGGTGTTAGATAATACTGCGAGAATAAGCTGAAATCCTGATGACGTCACAATGCTACATAAGTCATTATGACATCATCAGGCTACGGATTTAACGCTGGAAATTAAACTTGGCGTCAAAAATTGCATGAAAATTTTCCGAGGTGTGGGTAGCAAAAACTATACCCCGGGGGTATAGCTTTCTATGGGGGAAAATTTTCAGACTATGAGGAATAGTTATTTTACCCTCTGAACTTTATATAGGAAACATTTTAACAGAAGTATAATAAACAACGTTATTCAGTGAACATGGCATTATGAATAGCAATTGCTCTGCTGGCATATTCCATGATGCGCGCTAGCGCATCATGGAAAATATGCCAGCAGAGCTATTGCTATTCATAATGCCATGTTCACTGAATAATCGTTGTTTATTACTTATATTTGCATTCTTTGATTTTTTTTTTCAAGAATATCAGAGGAAATCCTGACTTACATAAGGACGCGGCTTCTTGTCTTCGGTAAAGAAAAACATATGGCTTTAAATTCAGTACACCTGATCAATGCTCCTTTTATCTAATAAATCACAAATAATTTATAAAGTATTTCCCTCTCAAACACAGTTATCTGGATACAAGCAGCGCCATCATCACATTCCCTTAATTTTTGTTTTGATGCGTGACGTCATCGATCAACGTTATTAAAAACCGCTGACAAAAATCAATAATTTAACACTATGATTAAAAATGAGAATGCTTTTATAATGTTTATAACTCCAGAATGCTTTTCTATGATTTTTTTTTAGTTTTTCTATTTATTTTTAATAGCTGAAATCGTTCTTGAAATAAGATATACTAGTAATTTTTTTTCTTTCTGAATGTTAGTACCCAAGTGTGAAGAGTTATCGTTCTTTGTACAAATATGCATGAAACGAAAAAATAAAAATATGCAGTTTTTTTTACAATTTTTTAAAAGTTTTATTATACAATTAAATACATTGACCAAAATTGAATTTTTAAGGATATAAATCAGCAATTTTAAATATTCTGAATTTCTTTTTTTTCCAACGAATATTATTACAAACTTATTTTAATTCCTCTTTCGAAACATTTCATATATATACTTCTCAACACGGAATATAAGTGTAGTGGAGCTTGTTCTAGACGAGTGAAATAGAGCACTTGCACTCATAGCAGAAGCAGTTGCGTCTATAGTGCTATGAATGCAGTTAATGTCTACATGTTCATAGTGGGAGAGAGCAGTGGATATGCAAATATAACATATATATGTAAACAATTAACAATCTAAGGCATATCAGAAAGATTACATGCCGGTGGTTATAAAGAAGGAGATTTTGAGAGATAATTCCTATAAATTCTCATTTAAAACTCTTTCGTCACCCTAACAACATGTTTTAACTTTTCTGGCAGTGTTTTCTTGAAAGATTTTAGAATTTTACCTGCTCTTAGTAATCCCTTTGTCAAAAGTCCTTTAATTGATTCTTTTTTTGCATTCAAATGATGCTTTAGTTAGACTTACCTGTCAGTGAGTGGTTTTTGAGTCAAAAATTTTTGTATATCTTACACACAGACGGACAGAATAGACAGACGGAAAAAAGATCGGAAAAGCTCAGCTACGATAAGCGTGTATTTTTAAAATGGTGATAACTATATCTTCGGACGTACGTTTCTTGAATTTCGTTGGAAGGTAAGTGTGATGTTACCCGTTAGGTTTCCATTCAAATTGTCCACTGTAAGCGATAATACACTGGAGTCGATTGTTGAGGTCCTTCATGAAAAAAAATCAGAGTCGTGTTATTAAATTTCATAGATTTAAAATACCACATTATCAAACATAACTACATGTACACAGAACTGCATTACTATGTTATGATGATGTTTGTGGAAAAGGAGCATTCTGATATTTTCCCATCTAATTGTCTTTACCTGGAAATACGTATTACTAGTATACTAAGTGTATAAAAGAATAACAAAAAAATTAATCCGTTCCTTCGGATGAGACAGTATAAACCGAGGTCCCGAGTCACAGTAGATGCTTGCACTAAAGAGATCCCTCACTGCTTAATGGCCTTGCGTGTGGAGCATTGTTCAACATTTTCAGCTCTCCACCGGCAAGTGGTGACAACCCAATATGAGTGAAAAATTCTCTGGAGGAACGTTAAACAAAAAAAACCCCAAACAAACAAAGTTTTTTTGCTATTAATTTTACATACAACTCATGAATCAACAAATAATGTGCTGTTTATAAACAAATTTGTCTTTATTGATTGTCTTCTATGTTTAAAATGAAACATATGGCGATAACGAACAGCATTTAAAAGTCCTTTAAACAATACAGAATAGGAACATCACTAAAAATGAAGATAAGGAACAGAAATAATACACGAAAGTCTATAAATTTATAGCAACAATACAAATCAGGATCAGAGTAACAGGAACCTCAAAGCCATCAGTGATTGGATATTGGATATTGTCGTCATGCAAAGGCAAGCATCGCCTGTCGACAGGGAATATCCGCTATTTGTGCTTCTTGTCAAAATGAGTTGACGAAAAACTCGATTCAGTTTAAAAGTAATGGTCTAACAATTTGAACATGCACGTAGCAACAGGCGGGGGGGGGGGGGGGCGGGAGGGCCTAGCCCCCCCCCCCCCCCCCCCCACTTTTTTTTTCAATTGATGTAAGGGAAATGTAGTATTGAGTGCAGAAAAATAGGTACTGAAAGCAGTTGGCATTGCAAAAAAGTTGTCCTCTAACCCACCCACCCCCACCCCCCGGCCACGGAATAGGATTTTCGAGTTTGGGCAATTTTCTCCTTTTTCTTCCTTTTTTTTTTTTTTTTTTTTTTTTTGCTTGTCAACTTTTAAGTAAGTAAAAAACTATCAGACAATATTTAACAAAATGAAAGATTGTATATGGTGCAAATATCTTATATAACAAAATGTTCACCATAGATAGAGTATAGTTAAATTATATTCTTTTTTCATAAACTTAATTTTAAGTAACATTTTTTAGAATAATTAAGGAGGTTTTTCTAATAAGTCGATGACATACTTGATGGTGTTTTCGGTATCAAAGTTCGACCTAAGATTATCGTATTTTACTGCTGTAAATGCAACATCACTACCTGAAATTCAAAAAAAAGTGACTATATAATAAACATATTAAAAATGAAGTAATTAGCACCTATTTAAAAATAGAAGTAAAATCATCTCATAATTTTGATACCTGCAATACTTTGTAATGCTGATTCGGGTAACTTGAACCCTGTTATAGAGTCATTTAAATTTTCGATCTCCTTTGGGAAAACAATCTCCTGTTTTGGAATTTTCTCAATACTCAATACTGCAATTGTAAATTAAAACTCAATCATTAAATTTAAAAAAAGTGATAGTTCTCTTTATCCCCAGTTAGATAAAATAGTCTTACAGATATGTTGTTTCTTAACTGTGACTGTCTCGTTGACTTCTAGAGATTTCGTTACAGATTTTGCAAATCCGTCCACAGAGGCTAATATTGTACCAGTGACCTTTTATGAAAATAAGAAAATTGTATTTCTGGACGTTCAATCATTCTGGTTCTTTAAAAAAGGATAATATTAGTTGAAAATATGGTTTCAAATCATCTATTTCCTATCACTTCTCTTTTCTTTGTCTGTCCGTCAAGCTGGTAACTTTAAAAAAATATTTTCCCTCTTTTTATAAGAATTTCAGGCAAATTTAAACTAAACTTGCAACAAAATATCGTTGGGTAAAGGGATAACAGGTTTTTAAAAGAAAGACAGTACTGTCATTCATAGGGAGATAAAACAAGAAAAACACAAAAAAGATTGGGTGTCATCTTCTCCTGAACCATATGGGTAGAAAAGAAGACTGAACTTATTACTTGAAAGCTTCCTGAAATTGCTTGGGTTCTTCTCAAATCTCAACACCCCCCCCCCCAAGGTAAAAAGGAGGGAACATACTCGTATATAGAAATAAAATTTTAAATTATTTTCTTAAAATCAAGAAGGTCATGATGTGTGATGTTATTATGTACGTATCCTAAAGTCCTGTAAAATTATGTTTTCATGACCCCAGACTTATGAAAATCAAAGAAAAACTTAAAATGTTTTTTTTTTCTGTTAAAGACATTGCGGTCATTCTTTGTCATATTCATAGCTGAGTTGAGCAGTTGAGCATTATGACCACGAGCCTCTTGTTAAATATAATTATACCAAACATATTAGAAGGGAAAAATATACCTCTTTTTCATCAGTAGTATTTTTCACGTGTTCTGTTCCCGTGTCCAAAAGATTACTGACAACTCCCATGAATGTCTGAATGATAAAGGTTCTATTTCAATTTTCCATATTATTTTACAAGCATTGCACATTATGAACAGTGGTATGCTTCACAGTCAAACGATATACAATGTATTAACATAAAAATGTTCTGAAAATGTTAAGTTAATTTGAACGTATCTTATTATGTAATAATATTTAAACGGGTTGCGCAAAAGGCATATCCTATATCAGCATTCTCCACAAAATGTTAATTAGTAAGTGCAAATGATGCATTCGTTAACAAAATGATTTGAATTGTTAAACAGTAAAGATTAATGTCAAAAATACAAATTCGTACTTCTGTTGTTTTCTCTGCAGCTTTTTGATCCGTGAAACTAATATTTTTATTAGATATCTTCGATATGAGCTGGACACTGTGTATGATGTTCACGTGAGCTATACTGGCCTCTTTATCTGCGGTTGGAGTTTCGCTAACAATGGTGGATATAGCAGATAATGATGACTCAATAATATCTCCAGAAATCTCCTCTGTGTCATTTATTGTGTTGAGCACCTAAGAAAATCAGAGTGGGAAATTTTTACTGAGTATATATTATACATGTAGCATTTTCGAAGACTATAGATGTATATATAATAACAAAGAAGTCCTTACTGAAAATGAAAAGAACAAAACTTTACAATATTATATAATGAAATTTTCCAACGTCCAATTAAACAATAAAATTATGAACAGAGTTTGCACATATCTCTGAAAACAAAGATTTGATAAGATTTCATAGAAGAGAGAGAGCATCTCCTGTCATATGCCCGGACAAACGAAATCAGTGAGTAAATATTTGCTAAATAATTAATCTGAAAAATATCAAAAAAGATTCAACCGAACAAAAACTGGCCATATTTTAATGTTCGTATCATTAAATTGGTTTCATTGTCTCATCAACTTATTTGTCAAAAGTATATTTTGATTTACATAGGATGAAACATGTGTAGATAACAATTGAAACAGTATTCAACATTAAAAATCCATAAAACAAAACAAAATAGGAGCAGAGCAAGCAGGACCTCCAAAACATCAGAGGTGTCTTCCTCTAATAAAACACAAATAAGAAACAAATGTGTTAAAATCAGACTATGTGATGCTTTTTATTTTGAGTGCAAAAGGATATACTAGTATCAAATCGAACTTAAAACTACATGTATAATGAAACAAAGAAAGAAACGGATATCATAAAATCGAGTCAACAAATTATTGTTAATTGTCATTTCAATTTTGAACCCAGCTTAAATTTTGAAAAATCTTTTGATACCTTGGTAATTCGCAAAAAGTCGTTCGTGTTTCCTTAAAAGTTTTTTTTTTTTTTTTGAAAAAAAAAGAAAGAAACGAGGTATCTAATTCCTTACATTTTCAACTTTCTCTAGTTCTGCCCGCTTACATTCATCTACATTTGGTTCTTCCCACTGACCAGCGCTGTTACATTTCCTTTTTTGGGTACCTAAAGATAAAAACTCTTAAATCTATTTCAATTGTACGTTGAACAGATATTCCTTATAAATTTGAGGAAATTATAATCATCAGAGTAAATACCGGTGTAGTTTTGTGGACAAGGAGCTGTGGCATTATTTCCTGCCTTTGTGGTAGGCCATTCTTCCTCACTTTCGCAAATGATAACATCTGTAATTCAAAGGGACACATTTTTACAATTATTCACGTAGACATGTTTACTTATATAAAAAATTTCCTCGGAACAAGGCATTCACGTGCTGAGCGGGGGTGAGGAGTATTTTTATGAAGTTTAATAATTTACAAAATGTGCTGTTTTCTTGAGTCTAGTGCCTAATATTCGCAGATGGCAATTAAATTTCAAAATTATACTTCCTACGAAATTGCAAAAAAAATAATTAAAGAAAATATCACAGAAGGCCATAAGACCGGGAAGATTTTAAAAACTAATTCGTTTAAAGAAAAACTGACAGTATAATTTTATTTTCCACGCTCCAGGAACATGAAACAGACTTGAACTTAAGTCAAATTTTCAACCACCTGTAAAATGTTAATCAATTCTTGGATTTGTCTCTAAATTTGCAAATAATAACACTTAAAAAAACAACCCTGTTGAGAAATATTTTGATTAATGGTGCATAGCTTCTACATCGATTAAATGCAACATAAAAACTTTGCCTTAATCTTAAGATATTTTACGATCCCAGGGCCAGATATGATGATATTGATATAATTTTGAAATCAGTATCAAATTGATTTATAATGATCAATACCTAGTGCTCGAATTTAACGAAATAATGTCATAATTAATTATTATAGGTAATTTTTATACTATCCGATCAGTGAGATATATATTAAAGCAAAAAAAAAGTGTTTTACAATTGGATTAAATATAAGCAATGAATTAATTCTCTCGACTTAACCTTACCTGGCTTTACAACTGTAATTGAAGATTTTTTCCCTAAATATGTACAGTTTCCGAGTCCACAGGTTATAATGTACTCTGTTGAATGTCTAAAAGCAGTTAATACGTAAGTTTGGTTGTATTCGTTTCCGGTAGAATTAGTGATTTCAGTATTGTTTAAACACATCGTTAAGCTGACATTTGATTCAATGAATGCTTTGTCTTTGTTTCTTATATAGCAATCAATATCAATAACGTGATGTTCCTTAATCGAAGATCGAATTGGGCGCATCACTAAGAAAGGTATTTGCTTCATTTCTATATTTGTTTTCGCTGTTCCGTTTAAGTATCCTCCTGTTCCATTTACTCCTACCTGGCAAGTATACAGTCCTAAAAAGAAATTCAATTTTTAAGACGTCTCAGTGCCTGTACTGGAAGCTTCAAGTGAAATCTAATTTTAGTTTTGTTACTACGTCTACTTTTAACTAGTCAATTGAAATAACAGTTAAAAGGAATGATTTACATACCTTCTACTAGAATGCTTATTTGGAGAAAAATAAGTCTTGAATAACAGGTATAATAATAACAATAGATATCAACCCTGATAAATGTTGAACTTTGAATTATTAATCCGTTTTTCAGCCAAGTGACTTTTACATCGTCGCTCATATTATACACCGGAAAAATACATTCAATCAAAGGACTATTCTCTTTTCCCTCAATGACGTCAAATGAACGTATTAAAACCGTCAGATTTGTTATATCTGTGAGGAAAAAGATATTTTTTAAATATGATTCTTCGAAGTTTTCTCATACAAATAAAAGTTGTATAAAACTTTTCACTGTTAAAAAAAAGAAAAAGATATAACGAAATATAGAATTAAAAAAATATTAAAAAAACTTTCAAAAATTGGGATTTATAAAATGGATTTTTTTCAGCTATCCTAGTTTGAGCAAATCCATCAAGCCAAATTTTGTCATTTCCAAATAATTACAGTTCATAAATTTCTAATAATAGGATGAATTTTTTTATCCTGTTTATTACAAAATTACCTGGCAGCGTTGATAGTAATTGTGTTGTTGCTGCTTCAGATATTGTTGTTGGTACCATCGTTGAGGTCATTTCTGTTGATGTTCTTAGAATTGCTGTTACAATCTCCATTGTTTCCGTTGTTTCCTCTGTAGATGTTGTTATATCTTGTGCTGTTGATGCTGACTCAGAACTTATTGGTGGTGTTAGTGTTGATGTCGTTTCTGTCGATGTTGGGAGTTCGGTTGTTGTTGTTTTAACTGTTGTACTTATTGGTGCGTATGAGGATGGCTCTTCTTCAGATGATACATGTAATGAACTTGATGTTTCTGCTTGTGTCGTTGATGTCATTGATGTTGAATATTCTTGCGTTGATGATTGAGTAGTTGGAAATGCTGTGCTTTGTGTTGTTGTTGTTGTTGTTGTCGTCGTCGTCGTTGTTGGCAATAATGTTGGAGTCATTGTAGTTGTTGATTTCATAGTCGTTGTCGTTTGTAATGTTGGTGTTGATGTTGAACCTCTTAGTGAGGTTGTCGGTGTTGAAGATTCAGCACTAGTCGTTGGTTCTGTATTTGTAGTTATAGGAGTTGACGCCTCCGTTGTTTGTGTGTCTGATGTTTGTGTTTTATACGTAGATGTCCGAGAAACCGTTGTTTCTGAAGTTGTCTGTTCTTTGGTTTCTACTGATACAGCAGCAGTCGATGATTCTTCTGAAAATGTTGTAGTAACTGGTACAATGGGAGTTGCATTTTCCAGTGTTGTGGTGTCTGTTGTCGTAGTTGTCAATTCTGTAACTTGTTCCGTTGATTTTATACTTGTTTCTATTTCAGATATAGTGGCGTCGCTTGTCGATATCACAGCTGTATTGGTTGTTACGGTTGTTGGTGTTTCAGTATCATTTCTCATTATTGCTGTCGTTGGTGAAGTTGTTGATCCTGTCGTTAATGTTTCTGTTGATATGTTCTCTTGTGTTGGCATTGTGGTATCTGATGTAATTGTGGACATCGTAGTCGGTTCCAGTGTTCCTGACAAATCTGTTGTTGTTATGGTTGATTGTTGTGGGGACGATATACTTTGTGTTGAGTTTGATGAAGATTCAAACGTAGATGTTTCTGCGTTTGTTGATTCAATCACTATCGTTGTGTCCCGTTTTGTCGTTAAGTGTGAAGTTGATGGAGATGTTATATTAATCGGGGATAAAGAAGGAAGTGTTGCAGTATTTGGCTCTGATGAAATTGTCTCGGTTATTGTTTCGTTCGGGGTAGAAAATGATGCTGTTGATATTATTGTAGAATGTGACGTTGGAATTACAGATGTTTTTAAAGTTGTTTCTCTATCTAAAGAAACAGTACTTGTTTCTGCTTCTACAGTACTTGTTTCTACTTCTACTGATGCTATAATCGATGTAACTGAATGCGGTGTTATCGACTGTGATACTGTTGAATTTATTGATGTTCTGGAAAGTGTTGAATATGTCGATTCTATCACTGTTGATGCGTTTTGTGATGTTATAGTATTCATAAGAGTTACCGACGAATTTGATGTAGTTGAAGATATTTGTGTGGTAGTTGACGTTACTTCACTTATTGCTAAAACAAAAAAAGTGTAATTACATCTACTCCTTTATCGCTATATTTTGAGATATCTTAAGGTTCTATGATTTGTTCCCTTGAGGAGAGGGGCCGGTCTTGTTATGTTGTCGAATTCATCTTAGTTATTCAGACAAAACTAATCTCATCTTGTATCCCATAGTTGTATTACAAATGGAATTTTATATATACATCTCTTAAGGTCTTAACTTTGATAACTCTTGCAATATATAATACCAGGTATCAATCTAGTTTATGATGCTAAATTTAACCCCGTCCCTATTTTTGCTTTTCTGCTCTAGGTCAAAACTAGAATTTCAGCTTTAACGAGTCTTTCGTTTTCTGAAGTACTACAGCACGCGACTATTATGTCCGTTCAAGTGAAGATGTCACATGTCTCAAACGACTAAAGGGTCTGTTGTCCTTCTTTTAAAGTAAACAGAACATTTTAGAATATTCTCTGATTGCTACTCAAATGATTAAAGTATACCTTAGAGAACAGGGCAAATTTTAAGTGAGTATGTTTTGAAATGACCAAACTCGTATACACAATCTACTTGTAATTAAACTCAGACTTCTAAGATCCGCGCGGTATAAAATTCTGTGGAAGCACCTGTGGATTCCCTTTTTTCTTTCAAATTAGGACCCCAATTGGTAGGTTTGGACTTCAATGTGTGATCAAAGTTTTATATAACTAAACATAGAAACATAGGGAATCTTTAAAAAATTAATAATTTCTCAGGAACAGCAAAGCCATGATTTGCCATATTTATGTGGAGCATCCTCAGGTAGTGTAAACTCATATTTGTTCAAATCCAGATGGGAAGGAAGGGGTCGCGATTGGCGATCAATGTTTTACAAGGCACTCATGAAAACCAGACTGGTTTGTTTAATCACCAACCCACCCACCCCTTTTCGGTGGGAGAAGGCTGCGCCACAAAGGTCCATCAAAGTTATACAAAGATAAATATTTGTGAAAAAATATTAAACATATTTTTATGAACAGCAAGGACGTACATATACATATACTGGTATAGCATGTTCAATGAAGAAATACCGGTATTGTCAACAATTCATATTTTTCTGTCAAGAATGAACTATCCTGAATGTTAATTTGTTTTTATTTGTTTTTTATGTAATATTCTATATGATTATTATTTTTCATCATTCATCATTCAAGCTTATAAATTTTCGAATCAAAGTCTTTTTTGGGTGAAAATTCCCGAAAGTCACATTCTTTAATAAAGATGCACAAATATGAAATAGCTATAACACAGTTTTTTTCTTTTCTTTTATATTCCATTGAGGATAGAAACGGTGATATCGTAGAAATTTAATGATTTGGTTCATCAATGGAATCGAATTTCATTTATTTTTATGTGTCCAATTTAACCTTCAAACTTGATATTTGAATCCTACACATTACGACAAAGTGAATTCTTAAGCATATGATTACAAGTATATATGAATTTTGTTATAGCTAAACCTGTAAATGGTGAAATAAATATTCAATTTTTTCGCTAAACAAAGGTTTCTTCGTGATCTGCGACTCTTCTCAAAAACCCTCATAAACCAGAAAAAAATTCTGTAAATTAATTGATACAAAATTACCTTGATTTTTTCAAATATTATATCATTTTTTTATATTGTTAAAAGCTTGCAGTCTTTTTTCTCCTAATCAAAGACGTAAATACAAATCAAAGACGTGAATGTACAAGCCAAATCTAGGTTGCAAATTTAAAGGGTGTTTAATAAAAGGAGTATCTTATTTTATACATGAACATTTAGATAGTATTGCAATAAATCACTGTCTTTTTTTCTAATTTGAACAATCGATTTCTTTTTAATCAATATAATATTATTATCTTTCTAAAACATTGTAAAGTCTGTTTTTTTTCCAGATTTCTACCTATACAGCAAGAACGCGCGCGGCACATTTTTCACTACTTGACATAAAGGTCATTTATAGGGGTAATAGTCTTCAGGACTGTCTGTTATTTGGATATTTACAGTTAGATTTTTCTTCCTGTGTTCTTATCTTTTATACATTCACTGCGCAACAAATCTTTCGATCAATATTTCCTGAATATTTGTTTTTCTTTCCCAATGACATTTTTTAGGAATTTAATCTCAACACTTTAAAAAAAATCAATAGTCCTCTTAGAACTAGATGAAGTACTGTAGAGTAAGGGGGTGAAATTCAGTTTTTGTGTAAACTTAGAGTGAAAAAAATACCCCCCCTTCCCCTTTCCCGCGCAATAGCACAAGAAAATGGAATATCTTGATAAACTAGTACAAACAATCATTTTTTTTTTGTACAGGATTCTAAAAAATTATAATTATAATCTCCTTATGTTATTTTGAGGTTATAACCGGTTTTTTTAAACTTTAACTGTATCTTATGCGGCGGAATGTGCCTTTAGATTTAAACAATTTTTTAGTCTTTCTTAAAACTTTCAGATTTCATGCTTGTCCGCCGTTTACTTTCAAAGCATATTCTTTTAAGACACATATTGACTAATTCTCTGATATATAGAAGCATTTTTACTGGGAAGGGGGTGTGACTCTGTGACAATTTCAGACTGACTTGTACATATAACTAGTATACATCTGTACATCTTCCAGATACACCCGGTTCTTTCTCTTTAATTTATAATTTCCTTTCTTTAAACATTTATACCAGATTGAAGATTTGTTGTGAGTGAGAAATTGACTATAATTGCATTTACCTCTCAAGAAGCAGAGAATATATCCCAGAGCAAACATTTTTTGTACAAAATTCCCTGATTACTCCAAAGGTGTAAACCATTAACTCAATGGTATTGCAAGCCACATGACATCACGTGATATTTATCGTTTACCACAGCCGGGCTTTTAATATACAGTATACCTTAAAATGTTTAAATCAAAGTAACCAAGCCAGGTGCTGCTTAATATTTTTCGTTAAAATATGTTTGCTTTACATATATATTTTATACAGAATATATCAGTATTTTCTTAAGTTTTGTAACATTTTACTGGTTAACACAATTATGTGCATACTTTATTTATAAACAGAGAGAGAGAGAGAGAGAGAGAGAGAGAGAGAGAGAGAGAGAGGCTTGGAGTATAAAACCCCATATGCAGGTTAAACTGTGTGCCCTCAAGGATTACATGATTCAAGTTATATAATGGCCCTGTATCCAGGATAATTTAAATAACTTTCACAATTTATCATTTTACTGCTCGGAAGCTAAACGGTATTATCGTGTTTGCAGGATTTTTAAAGTTTACATTAAATACAAGACTGTATGATAGTGGCTCTCAATGATGTCATCAGATTTTATAAATCACCTACTCCAGGGCTTCATTGCTATATTTTTTCTTCAAGTATCAAAAACTACATAAACGTCGGAACGGGTTGGGGGGGGGGGGGGGTTAAGCTAAGTTAAGTAATTTTTTGTTTTGTTTTTAAATGAACCGCCTAGTGTCAGCACCTCTAACCATATAAAGGCCCTAGCTTGTGTTAGTAATTGTTGATTATATCTCAAATATTAACAGTTAGGGCGTTTCCATTCGTTTTATAAATTTAAACGATTTTAGGTGTCGAGAGCTTTTCATCATTTATTTTTTTAAAATAATTTTATTCATTAATTCATTTATTATTATTATTTTTTTTTTTTTTTTAGTTTTGTTAAATGTCTTTAATTTTGTATTTTTCTATTAACTAATTAATTGATTTATTTACTTGTCTATCTATCTATATATCTATTTATAAAATATAGTTATTTTATTTTATTTTATTCATTTATTTAAAATATCTTATACTTTGACCACGAGTTATCTCCCTCACGTTGGAGCTCTTTAGTGTCTAAGAGGTCACAATGGCCGCTGTAGGCCTTGGACGAGTTTTTCGTCGATTTCAGCCTCTTTCTGTTATTAACAGATGTATTTCCACCACTCCTAAGGTTCGAGGTAATTGTTGTTGTTTTTTTTCCTGTGTTAATTTTCCAGCCGTGGTATGAAAAGTCTTCTCCATCTAATTTACAGTTCGAGTTTTCTCTGCTGATATCATATTGATTCAACAAATTTATTAGCTACAGAACTGTATTGTTGTGGTTTTATTTAATTTTAAACATTATTCCTTGACAATATGTAGTGCACAGATCCCGTAATGCAAAAAATGTGCAATTTACGGCGCAAAATTTATTGTGCACTGTTCAGGTCCAGGAAAATCACTATATTTAGCTATATAGGTAGATCTACCTATATAGCTTTATTTACTCATAAAATATAGCTATGTTTAGCTATTTTGGAATAAGTTTCTGTTTTATGAAAAGCAGACAAAAAGTCGCATGTAAATTATGGCTGATATATTTTTTAAAAGGTTTGATAAAAACAACCTAGGGCATAGACAGCAAAAACATTGCCTCTTATAAACACTTTTTAACCAAAAAATGTATCTCTATTGTTTGGATAGCTGAAGTGCGGTGAGGCATGACTAAGTGTGATTGCCTTGCATTGTGCTCAATTATTACCAATCAATTATCTTGTTGACCAAAACTGCTTTTCTTTGTTAAAGTAGCTGCTTACTCACAGATTAACTGTTATACATAGCCCCAAAACTTTAAGATCTTTGATTGCAATTACACAAAAGGAGAAACATTCTTGTAAGTGGGTTTTTGGTGAATTGTTTTCAGTCCATTTCAAAGTTGAAAACTAATACTGCTTCATTATGCGACTTTTTGTCTGCTTTTCATAAAACAGAAATTTACTCTGAAATAGCTAAATATAGTATATTATAGTGTAAAGCTATATAGTATTTTATATAGCTAAATATAGTGATTTTCCTGGACCTGCTGTTGGGGAGAATTTCTCCACTTTCCAATCAACTATCTATCACTCTTTATACCTGGACAAATTCTTGACTAATGTGTATAGTTTATCCACCTTCCAACATTTTATACATGTTGTCATCAAACTTGCATGATTTGAATTTTCTGCAATCCAACAGACAATTCAAATCAAATGAGTTTATCGCTTGTAGAGACCATAGGCACTTGGTTTCAGGATGGTGTATTTTGTGCATTATGTATTTTTCTATATGTGTCTGAATACTCACATTAAAATAATATGTTTTACGGTGTGACCGTTGGGGTGAGCACAGTTGTACCTTCAAAAATACAACTGAAACGTTGATCCGCACGAGACGTCTAGACTGTGACGTCACACAAGAGCTCTTCAGGGTTTACAGAATCAGCTGAGCATCTAGTTGAAACTATAGACCTAGTACAATTTTTGTCCAAAGATATTGCAGAGTTATTTTTTTGTTTCTTTTAAAGATTTATACAAACTGAAAGCCTTTTTTGCTCTACGTTATTATTTATTTATTTATTCGCGCAAAGGGTATTGGGTAGCAAAGGAATTCTGGGAAGGTTTCACACAAATATTTGCATGACATATGTACAGATTTAATTCCCAATTTCCTCTGTTCTTACACGTTGGTCTATTGAGCTAGCTTCACGAGCAGTGCTCTGTGCACACTTTTTTAATTTATTATTTACGTAGATATAATTTCCTGAAACTTGTGATACACAGTAATACATGTGAAAGAAAATGTTTTCTAGACTGTAGTGGTGTATAATTTTGACACTTATTAGTTAATCATGTTACAAAATTAAACACTGTATAAAATATCCTTTACCATTTAAATAGTAAGATACTGTAAAACTGACATTAAGAAAATGTCTTTATCCTGTTAAATTTCTTTTTTTTATAGCTGTCCATTGGGAGAAGGACTTCTTGCCTGGTCCCTACCCTAAAACAGAGGAGGAGAGGAGAGCCGCTGCTAAGAAGTATGGTATGCAGCCCGAGGATTATGAACCATATGACCCAGAACTAGGGTGGGGAACGGGGGATTACCCCAATGTTGAACCAATAGGAAAAGATCTGAGGTCGGACTATGATCAATACGATAATTACAGATTAAAGAAGAACTTCAATGAACCGGTAATGATATATGCCAACTGCTATAATGGGTATACTATGTTGATGGCACAAATGTTGAGGAGAACGCAGTTGCCTCTTGCTTATTATTTAATGCAGGACACCTTTATAATTTTAAGTTTTGATCCACTTAGCACTTCACACTATACTAGATATATTGCATGTTTTGAAGGTTTTCACTGTAACTTCACATATGCAAGTGTCTGTTACTGTTAGATGCATTTCAATAATGTAGCCTAATTTTTTTTTTATAACCAAGAGCATTTAATCCGCTATATGTGTGCAATCTTCATTAAAGCAAAGGGTTTTTCTTTTATATCACTGAACTTTGTTTGGTATTGCAAGTGACTGAGCAAATGATTATGAGCAGTCCATTGTTTATGGTATCACTGGGTTCACAGGTGCATGTAAGTCAGTCAATATGTCGGGTCTCAATGGCTCAGTGGTTAGAGCACTGGCACAGTATGCCAGAGGCCCTGGGTTCGAGTCCTGGTTGAGGCTTGACTTTTCACCACCTGTGACAATGATAAAATGTGTATTTGTGTTACATTATTAGTACTTACTTGTAGTCAGATAGGTTTACTGCAGAAAAAATAATTATTTATTATGCCCCCCTTCGAAGAAGGGAGGGCATATTGCTTTGCTGCTGTCTGTAGGTCGGTCTGTCGCTATGTCTGTCTGTCGGTCCATTTAGTTTCCGTTCATTTTCTTCACAACCGTTGCACAAACTGAAATGAAATTTGTTATATAAGATACATCAGGTGAATATCTAAGCTAAGTTCTGTTTTGGGTACGATCGCGCCATATTTGACAGAGTTATGCCCCTTGGACTTGGAAAAATTCCACTTATTTGCAGTTTCCGTTCATTTTCTTCACAGAGATTGCACATACTGAAATGAAATTTGGTATACAGATTTATCAGCTGAATATCTTGGTCAAGTTCTGTTTTGGGTATGATCACTCCGTTGTTGTCAGAGTTATGCCCCTTGTACTTAGAAAAATTCCACTTATTTGCAGTTTCCGTTCATTTTCTTTGCAGAAGTTGCACGTATTGAAATGAAATTTAGTAGGCCTGTACAGATTTATCAGCTGAATATCTAGGTCAAGTTCTGTTTTGGGTATGATCGTGCCATTTTTTATTGCTATTACTTTTCGTCCTTCGTCGTTCGTCGTGCGTCGTGCGTTAACATTTGACTATTTTCAGCTTCTTCTCTGAAACCACTGAACCAATTTCAACCAAATTTGGCATAAAGCATCTATGGGTAAAGGGGAACAAAAATTGTGAATTTCATGGTCCCTGCCCCCCTGGGGCCTGGAGGGTGGGGCAAAAACCACTAAAATTAGTGCAATCTTTAAAAATCTTCTTCTTTACTCCTGGACATCAAGCAGTCAAACTGTTTGCATGATTGTAATCAGCATTGAGTCCTCTACCAAAATTGTGAAATTCATGGCCCCAGGGTCAGGGGTTCTAGTGCTAGGGCTGGCCTAAATAAGTAGGTAGTGAAAATGCATTATTTCTTTGTAAATCTTCTTCTCTGCTCCTGGGTATTAAATAAACTAACTAAGTGCATAGTTATGATGAGCAAGAGTGCCTCTACCAAAATTTTGAATTTTATGGCCCCAGGGTCAGGGGTTCTGGTGTTAGGGTGGGGCTCTATAGATTATATAGTGAAATTACATGAATTCTTTGAAAATTTTCTTCTCTGCTCCTGGGTATTAAATAAACTAACTAAGTGCATAGTTATGATGAGCAAGAGTGCCTCTACCAAAATTGTGAATTTTATGGCCCCAGGGTCAGGGATTCTGGTGTAAGGGGGGGGGGGGGGGCTCAATAGATTATATAGTGAAAATACATGAATTCTTTGAAAATCTTCTTCTCTGCTCCTGGGTATTAAATAAACTAACTAAGTGCATAGTTATGATGAGCAAGAGTGCCTCTACCAAAATTGTGAATTTTATGGCCCCAGGGTTAGGGGTTCTGGTGTTAGGGTGGGGCTCTATAGATTATAATAGTGAAATTACATGAATTCTTTGAAAATCTTCTTCTCTGCTCCTGGGTATTAAATAAACTAACTAAGTGTATAGTTATGATGCACAAGAGTGCCTCTACCAAAATTGTGAATTTTATGGCCCCAGGGTCAGGGGTTCTGGTGTTGGGTAGGTCTCTATAGATTATATAGTGAAATTACATGAATTCTTTGAAAATCTTCTTCTCTGCTCCTGGGTATTAAATATACTAACTAAGTGCATAGTTATGATGAGCAAGAGTGCCTCTACCAAAATTGTGAATTTTATGGCCCCAGGGTCAGGGGTTCTGGTGTAAGGGGGGGGGGCTCTATCGATTATATAGTGAAATTACATGAATTCTTTGAAAATCTTCTTCTCTGCTCCTGGGTTTTAAATAAACTAACTAAGTGCATAGTTATGATGAGCAAGAGTGCCTCTACCAAAATTGTGAATTTTATGGCCCCAGGGTCAGGGGTTCTGGTGTTAGGGCAGGGCTCTATTGATTATATATTGAAAATACATGAATTCTTTGAAAAAAATTCTTTTCTGCTCCTAGGAATGAAATAAACTAATTACATAGTTATGATGAGCAAGAATACCTCTTCCAAAATTTTGAATTTTATGGCCCTAGGGTCAGGGGTTCTAGAGATAGGGCGGGGCTCTATTGATTATATAGTGAAAATACATTAAATCTTTGAAAGTTTTCTTCTCTGCTCCTTGGTATTAAGCAGATGAACTACCTATATAGTTATGATGAGCAAGGGTCATAATCTTCCAGAATTGTGAATTTCAAGGCCCCAGGGTCAGGGGTACCATAAAGAATGGGGGGGGGCTGTACTTATATACTGAAACTGGATGAATTGTTTGAAATCTGCTCCTTGGTATTAATCAAATATTTTTGAAAAGCAAGGGTGCCTTTTCAAAAATTGTGCAATGTGTGGATCTAGGCCTAAGAGTCAGGGGTTCATGTGTGATTGGGGCATTACTGATCATGCTGAATATTACTGATTACTTGAAATGCATTTTTTCCCCCTACCCTGCCTGAGGATATTAAGTAAACAAACTAAGCAACTGCTAAGTGTATTGTTATGATGATCAATGGTGCCTCTTTCAAAATTGTGAATGCCATAGTATCTGGATTAAAACATGAATCAAATTCAATCACTGGAAAGTTGTTGCATAATGCTCAGGTGACCTATAAGGCCCATGGGCCTCTTGTTGATAGAGTTATGCCCCTTGGACTTGGAAAAATTCCAATTTGGGGGAGGGGGGCATAAGTGTTTTACAAACAGCTCTTGTTCCTACAAAGTGTTGTCAGTAGAGCTTGCAGTGTGAACTGTTCTTCACATCTCTTGCTGAGTCACTGTTCTTTCTTTTCTATAGCCACTTAAACTGCTCATAATATATCAAACTGTTCAATTTCTAAAACTTTTTTATCATAAAATGCTTCATTGAAACAAATATTGCTATAGCTAAATTGAACATGTAATGAATATGTATGTGCATCTTAAATCCCCATTTAAGTAATAATAAATATTCCATTTTCTTTTAGTGTAAATGATTTTAATAATGGTTGCATTATTAGCCTTACAATATAATACATCTAAGTAATTTTGATGTCAGTCTGTCAATTTTTACATTCTCTTTGTTTCAGCTCCCTTATGACTTTGACTGGGTGGATAAAGTAGACTATGGCTGTAGTTATCATCCTCACACAGAGTAAGAGAGGTTTTTATTCAGGAAATAAGGGTAGATATGATAAGCATGTATAAGATATAAAATAAATTCTGCAATGCCCATCAAGGTAGGCGGAGGTATGCAGTAATCAAGGTACCATGGATAGCTCAGTTTGTAGAGGACTTGACTAGTGATGCTGGGGTCCTAGTTACATTTCCCTCCTCTGAGAAGTGGAGTCTTGTTTTTTTAAGTAAAAGTCTAACTGAAGTGGTTAAATGTAGATTTGAAGGGAATAACAGTTAATACTTTCTCCTGGTGGGGATTCTTAGGAAAGGTTTAAAATCCCTTCATGTGTGGATATTGACAGTTCAGTATGAGTGAGAAATTCTTGTTGTATATTTCAAATTTTATTGATTTTCATGATTTTGATTTGATTCCTTAGATCATTTATATTCAAATACAGTAAGACATGCTTATTGCAAACACCCTCATAACACATTTGCCCTTAGTGAGGTAATTGTCATTCTCCATAAGTTGAAATTTAAACTTATCGGATATAATGCATAAAGCTTTAAAGTAGTGAATTCTTTTGTCGCATTATAAGAGTTTTTACTGCTTTACTGTATACTAATATTTACATTTTTGTTTCTAGGCGTGAAATTGTCATGTTCCTGTTCTCTTTGGTGGGATTTTTTATTCTTGGAGAGTATCTATGTAACAAATATTTACCACGGCACGTTGAGGCGGTATGTATGATAAATCTGTAGATTCTTAATATGGCACAATGAAAGAAAATACTGGTACAATATTCATCTCAACTTAAAAGTTGCGATGAGTTTATCATTGAACTCTAGCATTCACGTTGGTGTAATTTTTGCAAGTAATAGATCATTCCTTAGTAGCTGATGTGTTAAATTTGGGACCAAGTTAACGCACTTTGAAAAAATAATTTTTATTTTCTACTTCACTCTGTTCATCCGCAAATAAAACATTTCTTTTCTAATCCATAATAAAATTCAAGAACATTTTATACTTTACAGTGTTTATTAGATATGAGTCGGGTACTCAGCTGGATTAACATAATAGTTCTCGTAATCTTCCCTCTGATTTACAATACTCAAGTATTTAAATAAAGTCTTCTTGGTCTCTCCGCATTATAAAGTTATTTCTCTTTAATATCGATATACATGAAAAGTATTGTTACAAATTTAGTTACCTATAATATACAATGCAATCGTTTTATGCCCTTAGAATTTCTTTAAAACAAATTGTACTGCAAAATCTGGACATTCAAAAACTGCAATAGAAAATATATTGTAAACGACTTAAAAATAAACTCCCTTAAACAAAAAATTGTGTTCGACATCAATATTCATGGTATTATATGCTATTTATAGCTGAGTACAAACTCGAATGACCAAAACGGCCTGAGACCGGATTTAAATACCTTGACCAAATCACGCAAAAATAAATGCGCAAAACTTTACGCTTAACATAAGCAATATTATGAAAACGAAAAGAAATTTAAATATTTTCAAAGTGTCTTAATATCGATCATATTGATGCACTTTGAAAAAATGTGCACAACTTAAAGTAGTCATTATACATGTAGAAAAAATTTTTAGATATGATAAAAAATTATTTGAACCCTGTTGAATAACTTTTTATTAATGACGTCACTTCAGGATCTGAGATATAGACACTTTACATATGACCCTTAGGGGTACAGGAAATGCAACAAAATGGAGTCTCAGTTTGTATCCTGATTAAAAATAAATTTCCAACACAACATAATGGTCTTTTTATAGTTATTTGATAAGTTTTTAGAAGTATTTTTTTTTTCTAATTTCTTTGCAAGATGATGGCCTTTATTTTACACTAATTACAGTCATTTAAATAGATTAATCTGAAGTTGTATGAAAAAAAAATTATATTTATGCATTTTATATTTATATTTTTGATTTGTATTAGAATATGTAATTACTTTGGCCAAAGTTTAGTCAATTGGCTATTATTGCTTAGATCAGCAATATTGCTCCTGAGCCTCTCTTTTGCAGAACAAAAGCTTAGTGTGATATATGTACATGTATTACCAGTATTATATTTTAAAGAAAATAATATCAATTATTTCATTTTATACTTTAGCTCAAATTTATGGAGAGAATTATGTATACATATATTTGGTAAGGAAAGATAAAGAAATTGCTTGAGGGTCCTTCTACCTTCGTTTTCCTCTTTCTTGATGAGAATAGATCAATTCATCTGGTTTTTGAATGAAATATAAGGAAAAAAATTTGTCTATTACTAAAGTCTAAGTCTGGAAATTTTATTTTTTCAAAGTGCGTTAACGTTGTCTCAAATTTGACACACTTTGAAAATTTTTTTCAAAGTGCGTTGATTTTGTCCAAATTTTAACGCACCATGAAAATTTTTTTTCAAAGTACATTGCCACAAAGCACACTCTGGACAAAAGTTCAAGTAATTTTAAAAATTGACATGGAAAGGAAGTCTTGTTTATGTTTAGGTACTTTTTTTTTATCAGATAAACAAAACTTCCTTCCTAGGAATATGAAATGTTTAGATTTATATCTTTATAATGACTCACATGGAATTTTTTTTTTTCATCTAGAAATAGAAATTAGACAAATTAAGCACAAGTCATGTATATGTAAACCAAAAGAATAGATCATTGTTGTTTTTATTTGCAATGCGTAAGTGTATCAACTAAGTCACTACATTACATATACGTGTATGTTCATGTTGACAAAATATCATCCCTTGTTGAATTGCTACATTTAATATTTTTCTGAAGTACTTTAAGTGACATGTATATCTATATCAGTAACCACTATTTGGAAATGAATTATTCCACATCAGATGCAACAGTCAAGCAAAAATTTAGGCTTTAGTATTGTAGTTTACATATTAGATAGTAAGCATAGAAGCAAATATTTTTTATAAAAGGATGGATCAAGCACAGGAAACCACAGGCATAGTGCACTTATTACTGAAATAATTTTATTGATAACATGTCATAATAATACTTTGGGTTAAAAAAAATTGTTACAGAAACAAGTGCTTGTGCAGGAAAGAAAGGCTTTATTCATATCTCCTTGAATCAGAACTGGAGGGGATACAGTACTTTGTGTTTGTGTGTGTGTGTGAATCAGTGTGATATATATATATAAAATACATGGTTACTATTTTGAAAGAGAAACAAGCCCTCGATCACATTTTCAACCTTAGCCCAAATATTGCTTATACTTCAAGGCAGAACTTTACCATTATGTTTGTCATGTGAAATAATTTTACATCTGACCCCAAAACAAGCTAAGCAACTGAATTCAGGCACAACTTTGCAGTTGAAACTTAAACACCCTAAAATAAACATTGCAATATACATGACATCACTATGCTTTAAGAACGTCATAATACATGCACAAGGCTTTATTAGTGCATAGAGCAAATTAAGCTTTGATGTATTAGGTTACCTGTTAAAGCAAGGGGTAGTTGCAGGATATATTGGGATTCGTGTTGAACTCTCTTTTTTAAGGGAATGCTTGGCTAATATATGATGCCTTTCTTTTGATTAATTAAGATTATAAGTGCAAATACATTAACTTCTAGATAAATTAAAACCTATTTTTAAGTCACGATTTGAAGTCCTCTTATAGCTTCCTCCTCCAGAATGGGAGAGGATCGTACATTTTGGCCGTGGTTTGCAACGATGAGATAAAGAGAACACCCCATATTCTGTACTTAAATTTTTTAGCCCTATGCATCCAACACTTAAACATTTTGTACAAGTTATATAGTTTGATTTATTTAAGAAATGAATTTAATTTTTGAAGATTCATGAGGTTATGAACTACAACGCTTCACGCCGGAATATTTCATGAAGCACGTTAGCGCTTCATGATAAATATGCCGGCGTGAAGTGTTGTAGTTCATATACCTCATGAATCTTCAAAAATTAAATTAATTTTTTATATTTACATTATTTTTCTGATGACTTGCTATAAATTTACGCCATTCAACTGTCATTTTTAAAGCAAAACAGTTTGCACTATATTTTTTGACGTCAAGTGACTTAACAATGGAGATACATGTATTCACGCTTATTCGTGGTACATATGTAATATAGTTCATGAGAAATTGAACTGTATTTTATTTTGTAAAGAATCATAGGGAAAATTTATTGGAAATGTAAATGTTGTCTTTTGTAGCTGCCTAAACAATTCCCCTACACCTACTCTCAGGTGGTGATGTACAGAGATCCATCAGAGATACAGAGGACTGTCCATTACACGTTTGAACCAGCAGATAGTAAGGAGTGAAGAAATGTGACAAAAATAGACACTAATATGGCTTAATGTGAAGATTTGAACATGTGTAAAAGTTATGTGTTACTAAATAATAAATTAAGAAAAGTTAAATTTTTTTATGTCTTATTATTTGCAGTAAATCCCATTCAAAAGAACATAATTGTGCAACACTGATGCTCCCATGGGGCAGCTTAATGCCAAGCCTGAGGATTCTCAAATGCTAGTCAAACTCCATGGTTAGGGCCAATAGATCAAAAATGATCGATATAACTTAAAGAAGGGACTTGTTTTCTAAAATATGCAAGTGAAATATGAAAGCCCAAGAACCATTGAGTCAAATACAGGAAAGATTAATTTTATAACTAGATGCTGTCATGAGACAGTAATACCCGCACTAAGGTGTTTGCCTCTAAATGCACACTCCTTCATATTGGGCTTTACCAAGGAAAAAGTCAATATAATTCAATAATTTACATAATACATGTTTTATCAAATTGAGCATAATATGCTCAGGTGACCATGTGACCCATGGGCCTCCATCTAATAGGTATTTCATATCCTTAATTCATTACCAGTCTGAGATTAAACAACAGAATTAAATTAATGATGTAAATTAGGTTTGATTAAAGGGGGGGGGGTTATAAATTTTTGACACATAATTGGAACTTTTTAAATCTATTTTCTCATATCTATAGATCAACAACAAATAATATTATTCAAATTAGTGTAAAGAGTTTTTGATGAATTTTTCAAAATGTGCAAAGTTTATTTATATTTGATAAGGCGGTTCTAAACTTTTTTAAAGCTGCCATATACACAATTTAGTCAACCCCCACCCCTCTTCCATCAACACACACACACAAACACACCTTATTTGCCTGTTTTTGGAAATAGGCCTAGATGGCAAAGTTAAGATAAAACATCTTTCGTAAATGATAATTTTCAATTTGTTCTTGCACTATACATGTATTTGAACACCTGCATCACATTGGGCTTGCGTCACGTACCCAACTAAGTACTAGTTTTACCATTGGCACTATCATTTTTAGCTCTACTGGTCAGAGACCAGAAGAGCTTATGCGATAGTAATGCGTCCGTCGTCCGTCTGTCTGTCTGTCTGTCTGTAAACAATTTTTCAAAATGCTACTCCTCCTACAGTTTTGGTCTGATTTCAATATAACTTGGCACACAAGTAGACTACACTAAGATACATAATTCTGTGTATCGGTTTTTGATTTCGATGAACGGTGTTGCCGTGGTTACTAAAAATAGAAATTTCTGTGAAATTCTTTCAAAATGCTACTCCTCCTACAGTTTTAGTCTGATTTCAATATAACTTGGCACAAAAGCAGACTACACTAAGATACATAATTCTGTTTATCGGTTTTTGATTTCGATGAACGGTGTTGCCGTGGTTACTAAAAATAGAAATTTCTGTGAAATTCGTTCAAAATGCTACTCCTCCTACAGTTTTAGTCTGATTTCAGTATAACTTGGCACACAAGTAGACTACACTAAGATACACAATTCTGTGTATCGGTTTTTGATTTCGTTGAACGGTGTTGCCGTGGTTACTAAAAATAGAAATTTCTGTGAAATTCTTTCAAAATGCTACTCCTCCTACAGTTTTAGTCTGATTTCAATATAAATTGGCACACAAGTAGACTACACTAAGATACGTAATTCTGCGTATCGGTTTTTGATTTCGATGAACGGTGTTGCCGTGGTTACTAAAAATAGAAATTTCTGTGAAATTCTTTCAAAATGCTACTCCTCCTACAGTTTTAGTCTGATTTCAATATAACTTGGCACAAAAGTAGACTACACTAAGATACACAATTCTGTGTATCGGTTTTTGATTTCATTGAACGGTGTTGCAGTGGTTACTAAAAATAGAAATTTCTGTGAAATTCGTTCAAAATGCTACTCCTCCTACAGTTTTAGTCTGATTTCAATATAACTTGGCACACAAGTAGACTACACTAAGATACACAATTCTGTGTATCGGTTTTTGATTTCGTTGAACGGTGTTGCAGTGGTTACTAAAAATAGAAATTACTGTGAAATTCGTTCAAAATGCTACTCCTCCTACAGTTTTAGTCTGATTTCAATATAACTTGGCACAAAAGTAGACTACACTAAGATACATAATTCTGTGTATCGGTTTTTGATTTTGATGAACGGTGTTGCCGTGGTTACTAAAAATAGAAATTTCTGTGAAATTCTTTCAAAATGCTACTCCTCCTACAGTTTTAGTCTGATTTCAATATAACTTGGCACACAAGTAGACTACACTAAGATACATAATTCTGTGTATCGGTTTTTGATTTCGATGAACGGTGTTGCCGTGGTTACTAAAAATAGAAATTTCTGTGAAATTCTTTCAAAATGCTACTCCAAATACAATTTTAGTTTGATTATAATATAAATGCGGCATGCAAGTAGACTGCACTAAGAACATAAAGAGACTTAATCAAGGATCATTATTCTATTTATTGCTGTTGAAAAGTTTCAATTTCCAACTGCTTAAGTACTTTTCTCTTCCTTTGCTATAAGTACAAACCAGTAGAGTTTCAGTCTCGACAGAGACTTCTGGTTAGATTTCACTGCACGTGCAGTAGGCTACTAGTGTGATATACACATCATTGCATATATGTCAGTAGGAATTATTTCATTTTGTGTTTTAATTGGATTATATTTCATGAAGATTACAGGACCTAAATAATGACAATCGGTAAGTACAAAGTTTTGGTATAGATTTGGGTAAAATACTAGTAGTCTGAAATGCAAACGGTTGGGTTAAAGTTTAAAGGATCAAAGGTCATCCGATGCTTTGACATTCTGAAGAGTTATCCCCCGTTATCAACGTTAGATCCAGAATTTTTTTCTGGGACTGGGAGGGAGGGGGGTTTCCAGACCAGAATTTCCTGAGAAGCAAAAAAAAAAAGAAGTTATGTTTGGGTCCGTTTTCTAAGGTGGAGGGACACTTAGGGCACCGAAAATCATTTTTATTTCCTCCAGTATATATTATAGTCCTGCAGATTCGAGGTTGGGGGGGTGGGGGGGTTGAGAGGGTGATCACCCAATCCACTCCCTGTCCCTGTAATGACAAATGATCATGTGACTCCTAAATAGTTGGAAAGTTTTTCCATTTGACTCTCCATAATTTTATTTCTTGTGTTATTATGTTATGTAAATTTAATGGTATAAAGGTTATGAACCCCTGGAGGTCATTCCCACTCTCCTAATGAGCTGGAAATGTTCACAATATGACTGTATTAAATTAAATAAAAGTGCATTAATGATGAGATTACATGACATTTTATTCATGAATTTGTGTCAACCTATCTTCCTAGAATTAGGAATGAAAATCATTCAGAGATGGACCACATTAAACTATTTGTATAATTTTTTTTTAATGTAATACAAGTACATGTAGTAGTTAGCATACATAAACAAACAGGGGTCTGGGAAGGGGTGAGGGGAAGGATTGAGTTAATATTTCTTTACGTCTTAATGGTCGAAAACTCCTAAAATGAATGTTGACCTCAAATCTAACTTGTCCTCATTATTTTTCAAGTGGTGGTGTCTCCATATGAGTGAAAAATTCCTGAGAGGGATGTTTAACAACAAACAAAATGACATAAAAACACAATATTGATTTGCGTTAAGAAATATGCAGGGGATTTTTTCCATCATAAATCTTCTTCTCAAGAACAGCAAGGGCATTATTGTCTCCCGTTATGGGAAAAGGGAGGGGATGTTAAATCTCATTTGTCTGTCAGTTTGTCCATCTTATTGACAGCTAGTATGTGCATCTGTCACAATAAATTAAACCTTGGTCATAACTTTTGAATAATAAGAGATAGTGCTTTCATATTTCACATGTACATTACCATAAAACTTTCTAAATATACTATGATTTTTTAACCCAAGTGAGACCTTGACCTTAAAGTTTTACCTACTTTCCAAAAAATAACATTTTTTAAATTGATCAATTTGAAAGAGAAAAGAAAGGGCATTCAAATTATACATGTTTATTACATGTGAAAAGACTTTTCAAAGTATATCATGACTTTTGACTCTGTGACCTTGACCTAGAAGTTTAACCTACTTTTCAAAAATATTATATTGTATCTATAAATTTGGATCCAAAAGAGATAGGACTTTCATATTTGACCATGTTGACATGTACATTACCTGCAACAAAATGTTTCAGAGCATGCTATGATTTTTCCCCTTTGACCTAATTTTCAAAAATTGATGTATGATATGGATGCATATTTGACACATAATCTGCCATAAATTTTGGCATCCCATTCACTAAAACACAGAAAGCAGAGGACCACAATTCTTTGAATTTGCTTGTATAATCTTGATAGATGGAAACATCCTCATATAATGTAGATTCAAGTTTTTTATGCCGCACCATGATTAGGAATACATGTATAGTTTTTGTCATGTCCGTCCTCCACCCTTTCATCTGTCTTTCCATCGGGCTCAAAGAAACTTTCTAGATATTTTTATCAAAGTTCATATGTTGATGCATACTGATGTAAATATCCAACTGCAGCAATATTTTTTGACTTTGACTTTTACTTTGACCTTCACTTAAGTTTTCTTTAAAGAGGCCCATTTTTAGACTATTTTGATCTCCTTTAGAAGAAGAGCTCCATATAAAGATATAATAAAATGATCAAATTTTAAAACTAAAATTTATGAAATTTTTCTTTGCCAAATGATAGTTGACAGCTTAAGATATCATATCCCCAAATTTATGTTATAACTGCATGGTGGTTAATAAAAAAATAATTTGTTGACCCCCTAGCCTCCTTAAATTACTGTTTAGCTTTATCTTAAAGAAACCATTCAAGTTGTGTAATGAAACTTCACATGATGATTCATACTTATGTAAGCTTTACAATGCTTCACTCTTTTTTACCTTGACCTATCCTGTGATCTTGTCCTCACTTTTCTAAAATTAATGTCTAGATCAGTTTTGAGTAAACAATTCAAAATATATTTATCAAACTTCATATGCTGATACATACTGCTGAGAGCTATTAATACATCAACTTA